TGCGGGCGGGGGGTGATGTTCCGAGGGAAAGAAACCCCCCATGGGAAGAGCTGCCCGCAGCAAGCACTACCCTCTCTTGTGTCATCACGCATCAAAGGGGCAAGTTGCTCCCCAAACAGTTTCTGGGGACAGGTCACGCCGGGTGGATTGACTCCTCGCCAGGTTGCTACAAACAGCTTTGGGCAAGCAGCCAGGCTCCAGTTTAAAGATGATGTAGTTCAGCAATAACAACTCCTCATTAAACACTCAGCATAGGGTTTTTTTGGTGATGCTGCTGCTGGAGCTCACAGCCTGGAGGGAGATAATCTGTACCCTGTGTCTTTGCATCGCCCCTGACTCCCCAAGGGAAGGATTATGTTCCCCAGAGCAGGGAAAGTTGAGCATCCCCAACTCGTGCTCAGCATCTTCACTCCCTCCACAGCAACTGGAGACCTGAAATGAATTTGAGATGAGCTAGTGACCTTTGGAAAAGCCTGATCTGCAGTTAGCACCGACCAGGCTAGGTCAGCTGAGCCGCTCATCTTGGAAAAGTGATGGCTGGGCAGGGAGAGAAACCTCCTGCAACAACAGGTACCACAGTGACAGCCCACAGCCTGAAAACCTATTTATTCTGCCAGGAACTGCTAATACAGTGATTCTCTTGCCTCAAGTCATGGTGGAAGCAATGAGGAGCCAGCTAGCAAGAGGCTTTCTGGCTAGAAGTCCTAATCCCATCCCTGCTTCCCATAAGCCAGGAAACCTGGGATCAGCTGCCTCCATAGCACGCGAGGGATTCAGAGGCAGATTTCGCTCCAAGAGCGCTCAGGTCTCCCCAGGTATCCATCCAGGGCTCCTGCCCTGGCTCTGCTATCCCTCCCCAGGGACAAGCCTCACCTACAGCCACCCCTGCAGCTCCCTAGGAACAGATGATTCAAAATAAATTCCCAAGGAGTATTTTCCACTGGCAAATGGAAATGCTCCAGCAACATGGTCCTGCTAGTACCATCAGAGCTAAGCAGTGGGTAGATGGTCTTCCCCTCAGCACATGGAGAGGAGGTACAAGCTCTGCCTGTGAAAGAGGAGCACTGGGCAAGGGGGGACACAGCCAGGCACACAGACAAGGGCACTGCACAGTCAGCCAGTGAAGCCCATTTTATTGTTTCCAATACAAAGGAAGTACTGATTTCCAGCAAGGATTTCACCGTGTAAGGCTTTTGGTCTGTAACATCTGGCTATGTTTACAAAATCCCTGACCTCAAAAACATGCTGCCCTATGCTGCTCTGTAATGGCACTTCGGTTATCTGGGCTTTAATGAATGACCTTTATGAACAAGGCAGAGTGCATCCCTCCACAGATCAAGGAAATCCTCTCTAAGTCTTCAAATCCCATTAACAAAATGACTGTACAAACAACGTGACTGAGACACACTGTCCCACCTCTCTGCCCGTAGGGAAAGCCAAGCAAAGTGCAGTTCCTCCCAGGCACTGCCTAAACATCTCCCTGTTTAGGAGCCATGGATGTACATGGCAATGCTGGTGCAGAGCGGGATGGCTCTGGCAGATCTTCCCAGCCTGGAGTTTCCTTATAATATTTACATCTTGTTTCTCTGTACTGCAGCCATCATTTGAGGGAGAGAGTATTGGAAAGGAATTTGTACAGAATCAGTGTGGAATTAAGTGGAAAAGAGGTATCGGTTTAATACCAAAAAAGGGAAGAGAAAAGCAAACAGAAGGAGACCTGAACTATGAACACTGACAGGAGGCAGAAGCTATTCCTCCCTGGCAGACTGAGATGCTTCTCAGGGCTTTATCTGTGTTTGGCACAAGTGACTGGCAGGGAGGGAAGCCAGCAGGTTATATTCACTCCCGTCAGCACAAGACAAAGACAAAATCTTTAAAGACAAACACCAACTTTTAACAAAACACAAAGAACAGAGACAACAACCTAGAGCAGCGGATCAAGGATGGCCAACCATCCCAGCTGGTGCCTAAGCCTTGTGCTTCTTCGCAGCTGGCTCTCCCTGCTTCCCCAGCCACTGCTGCAGGATATCTGCACTGGTTTTCTTGGGCGAAGGGCTGTGGATGAACTGACTCTTCCACTTGGGCAAATTGTTTTCTTTCTTCTGGGGAGAGCCCTCCTGGGAGTTTTTTAACCAGCCTAGCAACACTTTGTTGCTTGGGGTGGCTTTGACCTCCTGGAGAGACAAAAGGCAGTGTGGGAGAGGTCAGAAGCATGGTAAGAGCAGGGCACTGCGAGAGCTGGTCCAGAGCAGGATGTGGAAGCTGAGCAATGGCCCTGCCTGCAACCAGGCACATCTGTGGGAGGCTCCCCAGGCTGCTGGGGAACAGGCTTGTTCCAAGACCCGTTTCACATGAAATTTGCCTCATTTGGCAGAGAAATCCTGGCACGGGGTGACAGTTTATTTCTGGAAGCGGAGGGAAGGGAATCTGTCCAGGGCTCTGCACTCCAGCATCAAGCACAGGCATGCCCTGCAGTTGCTGCCTGCTGCCACCCATCCTGCAGCCTGGCAGCTCTGTCCCAGCCCAGGGACACCACCATGACCGAGATCCCCCTTGCCAAGCCCCCACCAGCACCCACCTTCTTGGCTCCCAGCTCGATGGGTGCAACACACTCGGGCGTGTTGTTGCGGATGCTGTTGACAAAGGTGGACACTGGGTGGAAAACAATGTTCTCTGTGGGCTGGATGAGTTTAACAGCTTCTTGGGTTGGCACTTCAGCAAAGTCCAGCCATTTCCTGATGGCTTCATCCCCGTCCAGGATGGCTGGCATCCTAGGGCATAAGACAGTTGGAGCTAAAGCTCAGCACCAACACAGCAGTGTGTGGTGGCAAAAGCCAGACTTGTAGCTAGCAAGGAGCTGGCAGTCTGGGGGGAAATGGGGAAAACTGAAGCAGCAGGATGCTCTTCTGCAAGGCAGAGCACACATTCGCTTCACCAAGGTAGCTGCTCTGCTGGAAGAGGCAGAGAGGTTGACTGCCAGGCCCTGGTCAGGCAGAAAGTGATCCAACTCCAGAGAGTGATTCAACTCCAACTGCCTCCCACAGAGCACAAAGATGGTGATTTATGGAAAGGGCATGAGCTGGTGACCCAAAACAAGCCGGTAATGTGGTAGTGTTTTCCTCTGAGGGCAGGAAGAGGAGGCAGGGCTCTCTGCCTGCGTGCTGCCAGGTTGGTGTCCAAAGGTGCAGCTCTTCTCCCCTGCCCCCCTCCGCTCTGCAGCCCCTTTGCCTGCTCTCACTTACCTGTGATGGATGAAGCTCACGTCCTTGGAGGCATCCACAGTGATGATGGTGTAAGTGTACAGCATTTCCCCTCCCGATGGTGGCTCCCAGCAGTCGAAAATTCCAGCCATGGTGAGCAACCTCCATCCTTTCCACTCCTCATCTCCCTCCGTCCCCTCATCCTGCAGGAGAGGCCCCATCAGCCCGGTCAGTGCTGGCCCATGGGCAACCAAAGCAGCACAGATTTTCCAAAAACTAATCTGAGGGCTTTCCAGGAGCCTTTTTCCCGCAGGGAAGCCATCACTCCCCTCCCCTTCTGAACATTCCAGCCACCAGCTCAGCCGAAGGAAAGAGGTAGTGAAACTCCCAGCCCAGTCCCCTGTGAGCCACATTGCCCACCCATGCAAATACCCAGCACGTGGGGAGCAGTGAGCGTGACGGCGGGGACGCCGCATCACCTTCCACAGCCCGGGGACCGCCAGCCACAGAGGGATGCCAGAGTGCCGAGCCCACTGCTAAACTCTTTTCCTATTGGGAAAGAGGCTCCTAGAGATGTGCACAGCTGGAGGGAAAGGGGCTTTTCGCCAGGGAGCTGGCGGGAGCAGGGGCACAAGTGTTAAGACACAGCGAGGGACTCCGTACCATGGCGTCCTTGGTCTGGGGGAAGTAAATGAAATACGGCTGCTTCCCCCCACTCTGCTGCTGCTGCCACTCGTAGAAGCCATCGGCCAGGACCACGCAGCGCTTGCCCTTGAGGAGAGCACCCTGGGGAGAGAAAGCACAAGTGAGCGGTGAGCAGCAGCCTCAGGCAGCCTGTGAGGGAGGACAGGGCTCCTGGGACCACTCAGCCCACTTGCTCCCTCTCAGGGCTTTCCTAAACTGCCCCGTGGGGTGCACAAATGCCACTAGTGCTAAGATGAGCTTCACCAGCAACTACCCTTTCAGCTCTGTTTTAATGAAATCCACCAGTTCCACAGTACAGGGACTCGCTCCCCTGTGCAGCAGGCAAGTGGAGACCATTACTCCCCAGGGAGGTGCTTCAGCCCTGGTTCTGCCGACTACAGGATCTCTTCAAGCGGGGCACAAAGCAGCAGCTCACCTTGTAGGAGGTCTTTTTCAGCATGGTGTCACTGCGGCAGTTGGAGGTGTTGAACTGCAGTTTGGAGGGGTCGTCATTTTTGAACCAGGAGGGCACCAGGCCCCAGCGCATGTCCATGAGGACCCGCTCCGAGGAGTCGGCATCCTTTTGAACGAGACAGAGAAACACCTCAGGTCAGAGCCACGTCACAGGGACCATGAGCATCCCCACAGCTTGAGAGGGGGGCTGTGGGAGGTTCTGTTGAAGCAGCTTCTCTCCCTGCAAGGGGGAACCAGCCAGTATCTCTGCTGAGAGCTGAGCTGGGGCTCACCGCCCCTCCAGCACTAACTCTGCCTCAGTTCTCCTGCAGGGATGCCCCTCACAAGCCGTGCAGAAACAGCCACTGATTATAACCCTCTGCATACCTTTAACAACTTTCCTGTAAGAATGAATACTCAGCAGAAAGCACAAGAATATTTTGCAGGAATAAATAACTCTGTCTCACTGAAGCTCACGTGACAACTCTCTGGAAGAATTAACACAGGTTCTTTTCAGTGGAAGTGGCTGGAGACATCAACTCCCCAGCTCTTGAGTAAACAGCCATGTCAGGCTGGTGTCACAATCCTCAAAACGCCCCTGGTGACAGTGGGCATCCCAAACAGGGTAAAAACCTCACCTTCATTTTAATAACGTGATTTCTGCAGACCTGGTGCACTTTCACTCATGTTTTGCATATTACCTGCCTCAGGACAATGGAAACGGCTTGTGGTTTTCGGTTCTCCCCCAGCTCACTCTCACTTTCTGCCCACACGTGCCAGCCCAGGCAGTGCCTGCTGGGGCGAGCGGGGCCCCAGGGAGCACTCATGTGCTCCCATGGGACTGCAGCACATACACACATATACACCTGCCACAGGTGTGTGCATGCAGGGACGTGTATGTGCCCAGTTTTGTGAAGTCTTTCAGAGCCTCCTTCAGAACAGGAGTGGCAAAAAGGAACACCCTACACCACACCAGCATCCCAACAACTTGAACAGCGATGGACAATCAAGTAGGTGTCTGCCTGTGTCCTGTATCATGTTCCCAGACCCATACTCCTCTGCTCCATCAGCTTATTGCCTGCTCTCTGGGGGATATGGGACCCCCAAGGCAGGAAAGGAGAGTATGAAGGATGCCTGATGGCACTTCAGAGTGGTCCCACCGAGGTGTCCCACCCTATCCCCTGTGCTGGTAACAGCTGCAAAGTGCAGCAGCCCCTTCTGCTGCCCCGCCAGCTGGGGAGGGAGAGCAGAGGGGGTTCAGAGCAGGGTGTTTCGATTTAGCACACCCTGTTTCACCCCACTGAACGCCAAAGAGCAGCAGTTGGCCGGGCACCCTCTTATGTGGAACCAAATGAGCTGCTCAAAGAGTCGTACAGGCTGCCCAGGTTGTCTGGGGGAGGTCGGGTAAGGCTTAAATTAGCCGGGATAACGGTCACCACAGGTGTGCAGCTACTGTACAGCTCTGAAGCTGAGATTTTTTTTCTTTTTTTTTTTCTACTCTCCCCTACCATCAATGTGACCTGGGCACACGCAGCAGTGTTATGAAATACAAACAAAAAAAAAAGCCTCAGGAAAGCCGATTAAAATCAGCAGAGAAATTACAGGCATTTGGGAAAAAAAACCCACAAACCTCTACTATGGTTAAGCACTCATATACACATTTCTGCAGAAAACATAAACAACGTGCTGGAAGCAGGGTACCGATTCCCCCCCCTCCTTCGGAACACGTAAATAACGAGACATTTTTTCAATTAGAAAATTCAATACCTGCCACGTACAGAGAGCAAAGCGAAACCAAACAAGCCGCGGCCGCTCTGACCGGTTCCTACACTCTCTCCCCGGGACCCAGCACGGTCTCTTCCCCACCGCTCCGCTTTGAGCCGCAGGATGCCCATCACCCGCCCCTCGCCCCAGATGGCCCCCGCCGAGCCGGGAGGAGGTACCTGGTGGAGGTGGCGCGCGGGGAGCAGCACGGGGCCGCTGGACTGCGGGCCCTTGTTGTAGGAGGGCTGGTACCGCTCCTCCCGCACCCAGTCGGGCTGGCGGCCGGCGGCCGCGGCGGTCGCGGTAGGCGCAGGCCCGGCGGAGGTTGTCGGCGGCCAGGGAGCAGGCGGTGCGCCCGCAATCCCGCCGGCTCTGCGGGCCCGGCACCGCGCTCCGCTCCGGGCCGCCCGCGGGGAGGGGCGCCGGGGGGCAGGGCGGCCGGGCGCGGAAACGCCGGTCCCGCCCCCGACACAGCCAGGAAAGGCCACGACACGGTTTTATTGGAACGACACCGGGAAGAGGACACGGAGCGGCGGTCAGGGCCGCCCGCCGCGAAACGCTCCGGTGCGGGGACAAAGCGCGGCGTAGGCAGAGCTTAAAAACATGGTGGTTTTATAGACAGAGACCCAAGTACAGCTGTACTGCAGAGAACACAAAAGCTGCTCTAGTGACCGCGATTCCTATTCTGCTGCCAGAGAAAGAAGCGTTGCCCGCGGGGGCTCGGAGTCAGGGCAGTCCTGGAGAGGGGGGTTTATCCGACGGAGGCCATGATCACATCCACGGGCAGCTCCTCCCCGCTGCGGGCCGTGACCTGCATCGTCACCGTGTCGGTCAGGACCAGACGAGACCGCACCAGGAGGTCATGGCCACCCCGGAACACACCTGGAAGGGAGAGGGGAAGGGAGGGGTGAGAGCGCTGCAGGCTAAAAATGAACGCTACTGCTTGGCACGGACAGGTTCCCCACAGGTAGCCTGTCAAATCCCAGCACTGGGCCAGGAGAGACCCTCAAGCAGCATTATTCCCATTCATTATAACATATCTGGGACTCCTGCTACTGTAAAACCCATGAAAGCAAAGTGTAAAATAAACTTCAGGTGAGAAGAGATACAGACACTCATCCAAGAGCTCCAGTACTGATCCGTTTTGCTGGGCAAGGCTGCTCTATTTCCTGCCCCAGACTAGTTCCAAACCAGGATGCCACAGATCACTAAGACAGTAAATTCCACCCAGCTCAGCCTGGGGCTAATCCGACATCCCCCCACCACAGCACCCTCCCTGATCCCAACACCAGCTACTCTACACTGCAGAGACAGAAATCATGGCAGGCAGAAGCCTCCAAATCCAACCTGAACTGCAGTGGGTTCCATCAGAAACTCCTGCCCTGATTCTCAACAGGCAGCTCTGTGTGACCTCCCAAAGAGCTGCTCCTCATGCAGAGACCTCACTCCACAGCTCACCTGCCAGGTACAGTGTGTGAGAGTTCTTGTTATCTGGCACTTTATCCGACCGCTCACAAGGCTGCATTCCCAGGAACTTCACGATATTGCTAACTGCCTCTGTTAGAAAAAATAAATAAAAGGGGCTCCATGTCACAAGTATCTTAACAGGGGCACCTAAAGGTGACTCAAGCCTTTCCAACATGTTAGGGTTCGTGCTCATTGTCTTGAGGGAGACATAGCATTAGTCAGAAGGGTAGTTTTAGAGGCCACCAGGGAGGCAGAGGCAACACATAAAAAACCCACTGCCATGAGAGAGTTCTGTGATGTAGCAAAGGTGCAACAGAGAGGGTGAATGAGTCAAACAAGGGCAGTAGGAGAGTGCAGCTGGCTGCACTTACTGCACAGCCCTGACAGTCTGTTCACCTCTCTGGAGAGAGATGCAGAAGGAAGGAAATATCTTGCAGAAGTCACAGGTCTTCAGGAGGAATCTGAAAAGGCCTCAGGGAGGGTATTTCAAACCCCAAGGGGCTGTGCAAGGGAGCACAGAGATGGTTACAGGACAAGGACACCCTGCTAAGGCATCAAAAGCACTGAGTTTTCATAGGCTTCTCAGTAAAAATAGGACTCTTTAATACATGATGAAAGACAAGAGGGCTTATACCACCAGCCTGCCCACCAACCTCATGTCTTCTGCTTTTTGCATTTTTTCTTACTGGCCTCAAGAACAGTGGTGGGAGCCCACAGCTGAACTATGGTCTGTCTGCTTGGGAGGGTAAAGTGTGAAAACAAACCAAGATATTCTCTTGCCTCCCATAATCCTGGTTTCCACTGGGCCTAGAACACTCATTTGTTTTTTTGAAACCTGAGCTAATTTGTTATCACAGTAACTGTAGCTCCACATTAAACAGCTCTGGTGAAAAGCTTATGAAGGGTTTTGCCCCATTAGCTTTTCTGTGAGAGCTCTAAAGTGAGCCAGATTGGGCCTCCAGACTCTGCCACTGGAGGGAACAGTACAAGCTCTGCTGTGCTCAGACACGCCCTTCCTTACCTTCAAGGGTTTTAATAGCAGATAAAGTAAAGGTCTCTTCCTTTTCAAACTCGTCACCCACTTCATCCCAGGCTGCTCCAAAGTTTGGCTTCAGAACTCGCTGGATGTGATCAGCCACTGTTACCTCCAGGTCTTCAAGCTGGTGGTAGAAGAGGTTCAAGTGAAACACGGTTGTTCTTGACCCTGTTCTCCACAAAGTGAACCTTAGACTGGATTCCCTGAGATCAGGTGAAGGCAGGAGACTGCCTCCACTTCCACTTCTGGTTTGCTTGAGCAAACACCGCTTGTTTGAGCAACTGCTAGGCCTGAGAAAGGCCCTGGTGATGCTCTCTCCAGGGCTTACAAATCAGGTTCTCCCTCTGAGCACAGCCCTCAGCCTGACAGAGATCAAAGCACTGGACAAACAGCCAAAACAGAAGGAAACCCAAAAGCTTAGAAATAGCTGCTTGTGCTCACACAGATGCAGCATTTTCCCCTGAAATGCATATAAGCTTGTGTTTTGCTTTTCTGGTTTATCGTTTTGTAGGTTGGTAGAGTGAGACACTGTCAGACATGCTATCACCTAACACTGGCACTGGGGTAGCTGAGCTGCTGCTGTGACTACACCTGTGCAAGGCAGAACTGGGCTTGTCCCTCCAGAGTGCATACTGAAGGGCAGGCAGTGCCAGAGCTGTCTGCACACCAGCCTGCATTCATTTCAGCAAGCGCTGCAGGAAAGAATCTCCTCCTGATTCCAGTTGAAACACATGGAAGATTTTGTTTAAATATCACTTGGTGACTTGGTGAGTGGTGGGAAGCTGAAAGAGGGGTTAACCTTGCACATTCCATTGAGAAAAACCCTCCCCACCCCTGCTGGGAAGACAGTGACTCACTGCACAGCAGTGCCTCTAATCAGATTCACAGCAGTGACAGGCAATGCATAGAAAACAGTCTCTGGAGCTAACAGGGCAAGCTGAGGCTGTGTACAACATCCCTTCCTCTTTGAGGAAAAGAGATGCTTCTGCAGCATTGGTGCTTTCAGCAATCTCACTGCTGGGGAGTGAAAGCCCCACGTTCCCCAGAACAAGAACAAGGATGGCAACTTTCCTGTACCAGGTAAGCCTCTAGACAATTAACTGTGCCACCATGGGAGCAATTCATGGAGAACAAAAGATGCCCAACAGCCCTCTGTCTCCACAACCCTGAGTGTGCCATTGCTGCAGTCCATAGGGCACAGCCAGCCAAACCTGGGGGATGCACTGTGGCCCCCCAAAACTACATATCCTGCACAGTCAGGTGTCCATCTGGAGAGCAATAGGAGAATACTCCAAATGAGACAAGGCAAGCTCTGCAAACCCCCATCTGCATCCTTGGACAGATACCAGAGACAGCAAGAACTCTCTCCTCACGTGATGCTACCCACATCAGTGTCAGTGGTCACATCATTGCTTGCAGGGATCCAAGTTCAGCTCACAAACCCCCTCAAAATGACAGCATTTTCCATGACCAGATACATGCCCAGCTCCTTACCACATACTCATCCTCGTAACCCTCGTCGTCTGTCTCCCCCGTGTTTGGGTCACAGTCCTTGACAGTGAACTTCATCATGCAGCTGAAGGTACAGGCCACTGGAGGCAGGGAGACAAAGGCAAAACCACAGTTGCCACCACATCCCCATAACTCTGCAGAAGGGGCTGGGAGGTTTGGGGCAGCCAGGTTCTCCCTGTCACTGTCAGCAGCACAGGCTTAGCCAGTGACCTGGAAAGGGCTCTCCAACAGTTTCTGTCTCTCATGCACAAGGTATTTCTCTGTATATTAAGGCTAGCACACAGTGATAAAGACAGGCTCATGATGGTTCTACGAGACGATAATCCCCAGATCAAGTGCTATTACTGATGAACCTCATGTTGTTTTGGGAATACTAACTAAACATGTCCCACCAGCACATTGTGAAGAGGCAGGATCCGCACCTAGGGATGGGTTCATGCGCCTCTGAAATGAAACCACCTTGCACTGCAATGCTGCAGCTGATTAATACCACTCAGCTGGGATGGGAGAGGAAGCGATGACTCAGTCCTAGGAACTGGGTACTGCTGAGTGAACAGCAGCAACACACACAGGTGAGCAGTGCTAGAGCACAAAGCAGGGAGACCAAAGCACAGGTAAGGCCTGGTTCGTGTTCCGGACAGTGGCAAATGGGGGGATGTTCAGTTCAAATAGGCATCCCTGAAATTCTAGTGGTTTGTCTGAAATACCCCTTTGCTCCTCAGAGCATCTGGGGACTCAGAGCACTTTATAAGTACCAGCCTCCCCTCCTCAAACATGCCAGAGTGCATGGGAGACAACTCAGCAGAGAGCTGAATGCTCATCTGCCAGCTCTCATAGCCTGACTCGACAGTGCCACAGTGCAAGGGAACCAGGAGAGGAGAAGGGAGGCCTGACAGCCCCCAAACAGCAAAGACAAGTCATGCTCAGCATCACTCAGGGCTGCACCCACACAAGGGCTATAAATATCTGGCTAGGATGCACGGTAGAATGTGTGGGGATGAACAGTACAGGAAAAAACAGAGTGCAAACTGTTTACCTGCTGTCGGATCCTCTTCAGACAGTGCCACCAGCGTGTAGCAGGTTCCTGGCTGGTTGTACACCAGGGTTTTGGCAGGTACATAGCCAATGACCTCATACCCCTCTGTTGGCTCCATCTGCACTGTGACATTCTCCAGGATCTGATCGTTCAGGGTATTTGTGCAGTCAAACTAAACAGGGAAGAGGAAGGCAGCAACAGCTTGAAGCTGTTCACTATTCATCTGATAGCAGGCTCAGTTTAGGCAGAGTGGGAGCGTGGTGTCACCTGGTGAACCCCCAGCTCTTTTTGTTTCCACCGTGCTCCTTGCTATCAGCTGGGCAATCACAGAGCAATTTACAGGAGAAACCAAAACCCTGAAGGGGAGTCCTTTTTCCTCCAATGCCCTGGGTGGTCATTCCTGGGTTAACTCTTTGCTCTATGGAAATGCAAGTATTGTGTTGCCTACATCATCCCACCCGATGCTACAGGGACACAGTGCCCCATAGCAGGTGGGAAGATGATCCTTTACATAGCTCAAATTAGGGACAGCTTGAGCAAGTTTCAGCAAGCTT